CATACTTACTTAAAAATTACTATTCCATTACTCTACAATTCCTGATCCATTCCTTCGATTGATTCGTACTTATATGAAACATGCTGTATTCGAACAATGTCAATTTAAACATGTACCCATATGTTTTTACGTCAAAGTGAAAATGCAAAACAAACATAAACAATGACATCAAAGCTTTTTCATATTTCAATAATAAAAATGGCACAATCCATGAATATTTCGGTGGAATCAGCTATTGACTATGTAATTCAAGACATCACCTACGGTGAGATCTTTCAACCGTAAGTGTAGCCAGAGCTGTCAACGAACGTTCGTTCGTAGGCAAAAAATATCTTTATTTTGTTCGTTCGTTGTTTGTAGGAAAAGTATGAAAATAAAATAATTATTTTATTAGTGAATTCGAAAGTAGATTATATTTTGTGAATTTTGGTATTGATAACATAAATTATAGAAAAAAATTGAAAAAAACAAATATTATTTACTTAAAATAAACAACGTAATAGTCAATATAATAATTGAATTTGCATTGTTAAAAATCGATAAATTTATTACGATTTATTGAATTACTATTTAATTTTTAAAAATCCAAAAACATAAAATACAATAATAATATTAAATTATTCATGAGAATCAAACCAAATTTGCTGTTAGCAAGTAACATTAGTAATCAATTTTGTGATTTTTTTTCCAAAATAATAATTCAATAAATCATAATATTGGGAGTACAATTTAGTTTTTACGGATTTCCGAAAGATGGCATACCTAGCGATGTATGCATCGGGCAACACCGTGGCTACCATCATTTTTTCTGTCTTTCAAAATGCGATAAATTTCAGTATATGTCATTGCGTTGAAGTGTAAACAACACAGATTTTTACTACATTGAAAATGTCTGAGTTCGCCCCAAAAAAACATGATTTGCGGGAATTTAATTTTTTTCGCTTCAATCCAAGCATAAATGCATCTGATCATTTTGGGACCTTAATATTAACAAGATCTTTCGATTCCATCATAATATGTTGGGTATGGTGAACAATGAGTGGTGAATTTGGTGTAAAACTTAAAATTCACCAAAAATTTTCAAATTGAATTACTTCACTCATTTTTGCAAAAAGTAGTATGTTAAATGCATGCAAAAGTCGTAGATTGACTAGATATAAACAATGCGATCGATATCAAATATTTATATTTCCTGAAAGTGGTGAAAATTGGAGCGAATACAAACTGGAAGAAAATTTGGTTAATGGGCACTACAAGGTTAATAAAATGTTACTCTAAATTTATACACGCATTCATTTTTGTTCAGAATTGAGATTGATTGTAAAGGGATCTATTTCAAGAAGTTTAAGCCAAAAAACCATATTTGAGCTGAGCTGGATCCCAAAAATTGAGGTAAAATCCAAAAATTCGTGATTCTGCTGAATGGGGGATGTAGGCAAACGTGATCGAATAACAACTCATCAAAACTGTTACAGATTTTCTTGATTGATGTCGGAAAATCGTTTTAGATCGAAAAGTAACAGAAAAATTACAAAAAACCTGTAGAAATATCCAATTATCTAAATTTCTAAAAAAGTGAGCTTTTCCACTTTTGCAAGAACATTGTTTTTGGTTTAAAAAATAAATCAATAAAAAATCTTTATACCCCCGCTGTACTCACTGGCCATCCCTCTTTCTGAATAACACATACTTCAATGGATGCAGTACACCATTTTTGATCACCACTGTGAAAACTTTGAAAAAGTCGAAAAATGACTCGGTCATTAGATACCTGGAAAAATACCTGTGTAGCAGTGTTTAATGCATAATTTTACGGCGTGATTGATTTGTGTATTATTTTAGTCCGCTAGCACTGTCGGAGATTTTGACTCGGAATGTATTGGGTGTATGCATTAAAAAAGGGAATTTTTTTGGTGAAAAGATACATTTATTTAAAAACAACTGTACAATATATTTTTTTTAACCAATGTATTGCCCATCGTTAGCTATGACTTCGGCCCAAGGGGGTAGACATGATTCAAATGATTCGTTGTAATTCATTTGTGATTTGAATGATTTGAATCTATTTGACAAGTGACTTTACAATACTAAAACAAAGCATAAAATTCTATATCAATATTTGTTTTTTTAAGCAAGAAAAAACCTTTTTTTAATTAAAAAAATCAAGTATATTTCGTTTATAGTTAAAACACATTTCGAAAATATTAACTCTCTTTGTATTTTTATTCTTTAACTTGATATTTTTTTTGATATAACATGCATGCAAACATCGATAGTCAACTTCTATGGAGGCTATCCATCAAGCCGATCACAACCGAAGTCTTGTACTTTTTTTAACGATGTCTGCTCGATGTGGCCTGGCATTATCATCGTGAAACACAACTTTGTCTTGTTTAGACGCTATCCGTGGCCGTTTAATCTTCAATGCATGCTCCATTTTGATTAATTGCATGCGGTAGCGTTGGGCTGTAACCGTTTCTCCTGGTTTTAGCAGCTCATAATACACGACACCTTTTTGATCCCACCAAATGCACAGCATGACCTTCTTGCAATGAATGTCTCGTTTTGACTGCGATGGTCCTGGTTGGTTCGGATCAACATACGCAATGCAATTTTTGGCATGCTATGATTCGTGCTTTCAATTGATTTTCATTGAGTTGATGTGGCACCCATTTTCCCAGTTTTCGGATCTTTCCCATTGCATGTAGACGTCTAGAAATGGTTGCCTGGTCGACATTCAACGCCATTGCAAGTTCTTTCTGCGTTTGACATGGATCATCGGCCAATAATGCTTGCAAATCCTCACCTTCCAACTTTTTTGGCTGACCTGGTCGTTCTTTGTCACGCACATCAAAATCACCACTTTTGAAGCGTTGAAACCAGTCGTAACATTTTGATTTTGTCATTGATCTACTACAACGCACAAACAAGTGGTGACATCTACCGTGAAATTTCCTTTTTATTAAGTATGCATTAGCATACACCCAATATGTCGAATTGATTTTAGCAAATCAATGGGCAATTAAAGAGGAAAAAGATGATGAATAAATGACGAATGCGGATCTAGGGGGGAGACACCCGTGAATCCTTTCACCTTTTGTGTCGGATTTGTACGATTAGTATGATTACAAAATTTTACAAAGATTCACATTCGATTCAATTTTTGATTTAAATTGCTATAATTCCAATGATTTGCACAGATTCACAGATTCGTAAAGATCCACAGATTCATTAAATATTCACATTTTTGTGTTTTTTCTTTTGACGTACAAACGTATGTTGATTTTATAGAAAATAAATATGCTAGCAAACATAAATTAAAATAAAATTCAATTATTTTTGTTTATGCAATGATTTCATTTTTACCCACTTTTAACAATGGAATAAAATTTAACTCAACAATCAACACATTTTATATTATTGACAAAGTGACTTTGTCAAAGTCCCTATGATTCATGAGATTCTTCGGATTTTTCGGATTTGTGAGTTTTGTGTTTTTTATTATAATTCTAATGGAATCGTTGGAATCAATGAAATTATACAATTGAGTATTTTAACATAGATTTTTCATTTTGAATTGGTGTCTACCCCCTAGATGCGGATTGATTCAATGCCAATCTATGGCCATGGCATTCTGTCTGTCGACAAACTACGATGCGTATGTACTATATGTATTCCATTACTCTACCATTCCTGATTCATTCCTTCGATTCTGTTCCATTATCATCATTCACATTAATTCTATAATATGTGCATTGAGATTTTCAAATGACAATGTCGATGCGATGATGATGATGATGATGATGGAAAATGAAATGTATGTGCGATAGAAACACAGAGTGTGTATAGTTTTGTCCACACACAAATGCACACACATTGGAAAAAAACAAATTGCTGACAAATATTTTTGATTTGTTATGTAGTAGAGAGATGAGCCGGTGTTCACACAACAGCATCGAAGCAACGCCACAGCGACATTACATTGGGCAGCAAATGTACGAACATACGAGAACAGTAACACACACAAAGAGAGAGAGAGAGAGAGAGAGAGAGAGAGAGAGAGAGAGAGAGAGAGA